CCCTTACTCCTTCTGGGCAGTATTCAGGGCAGGGAGCAGACTAAGAAGGTGCTAAATCCCTTCCCAGTGGCTGTAGTGGAGCTTGTAGGATTGGGGCAAGAATAGGTTGGAAATCCCCCCTTCCCCATGGCTTCAGAGCTTAGCTGAGAGGCTTCCCCAGGCCAGTGCTATGTGAGGCTTTGGCATGTGTAGGGCTCAGCTCCTCCTGGCCAGACTGGAGAGTCTTGGGCTTTCCCAGTGCACTGGCCCAGCCAGAGGAAGTGGGGGAAGGAAGGAACCTGCTGGCCAGGCTTTTAGTGAGCTCAGTGCTCTGACCAAGGGCTGGTTCTCAGCACCGCACTGGGAGTGGGCGCGTCCTACCGGAGTGAATAAGGAGGAGCAGTGAGGCTGGGTGGGGTGAGGGGGCAGAGGACAGTGAGGGGAGGAATGTAAAGGTGCTATGGGTGGGCAGCAGACCCACCTCATCATCAGCCACTCACCTCCCCACACACAATGCTACTGGGCGGGTGGCTGGTGAGCAGGGATCTGGCCAGCAGCAGGACCTGCCCAGTACTTATGGGGAGAGGTGAGGTAGAAAATATGGGACCATTTGCTTGTTTTTCAGAAAAAGTAGGGACACCGGCATGAGGGCTTAAATACAGGACTGTCCCTTTAAAAATGGAACATTTGGTCACCCTAATGATTTGTGTATGTGACTACAGGCATGTACAGGCCCACTGAAGGGGAGGAAGGGGGGCAAAGAGGGCAGTTACCCCGGGTTCCAGAAATTCAAAAGGCTCTGGGGCTATTGGCGCCCTGGGCCATTTAAATCATGGCTGGAGCCCCACCCAGTGCACTTGGACCAGCTCTGAGGGCTGGCTGGGGATCAGGGAAGCAGGGAGCAGCGTGTTCCGGGCAACACTGAGAGCTGGCGAGGGAAATGAGCAAGAAGGAGTATGCATCCCCCTGGATCACTACTGGCCTTTCATATCGCCAAAGGTCATCTGCCTGCTTGGAGAATGTGTCTCTGCTTGCAACTTCTCGAACAGCCCTGTATTCTTAAAACTGCAAGTGTCGCACAACTTCCTTGACCAGCCAAAGTCAATAGCAACGAAGTATCCCTGGTGATCCACCACCACTTGTATAACCACATAGTCCTTTCTGTTCATTTACACGTTGACAAAGGACTGATGTCAAATAGGGATGTACAGCTCATGTATCGCTCTACTGTCATTTAGAAACCACTTAGCCACAAAGCCATCCATTTTGTCCTGCACATCACAGAGAATCAGTCCTGCATCATAGGCTATGATTCACGGCCATGCACAGTTGCATGACAATAGCTCCCAAAGTGGATTTTCCAACTCTAAAATAAGTTTCCATTGAATGGAAGCAATGCAATATTGGAAGCTTCTACTGTATAATCACCACTTACTTCACGTCTGTGAGTGCAGCTCTCGTTTTGCTGTCTCCGCACTAAAGGGCAGAGGTGATTTCAGCACATAAATCCAGGAATGTGGCCTTATCCTTCCAAAGTCCTGCAAGCCACTGCTCATTGTCCCAAATATATGTCACAAAATGATCCCGTCAGTCCAGGCCTGCACAACATGCAGCCCGCAACTATGGGCAGCGCAGCCCCCTCCAATGGTGGGGGAGGGGGGGGCCGCCGGGGAGGGGGAAGTGCGGCAATTCTCGCCGCTGGGCTGCCTGTGTGCAGCTCCTGTGCGAGGAGGCGGGGCGCGAGCCAGAGGGTGGGGACACCGGCAGATGCTAGGATGCTGGCATTACATGGTGTTGTGATGTCATGGCTGGCAACCACCAGATTCAAAAAGGCTCTGGCAGCCTGGAAGGCAGAAGCCAGGTAGGGGAGGGAAAGGGGTTTGTGCTGAGGGGAGGGGGACAGGTCAGAAGAAAGGGGAAGGCACCAAGGGGCAGGGTGCAGGGAGAGACAAATGCTAGGAGGCCAAGTGAGATACGTGTGGAGTGGTTTTTGGTTTTTTTTGCTCGACAAAAATGTTTAGCCCGCGTGTTCAGTATTTTTTCGGAGAGCATCCCTACTTGCAGCCTGCAGCTGTTTTCTTTGGAGTAATATGGCCCTCGCTGCTTTCCGAGTTGTGCAGGCCTGTGTCAGTCAATGCTTGCCTCTCAGGCTCCATTGTCTGCAGCAGCTCTGTGAATGTCAACAACCTTGATTTAAAAAAAAAAATTTTTGCTGTCAATTAGCAATCTCTTCTCACAGAAATTGTCATGTCCCCCTCTGTTATGATACTTCCCTTACTTCCTGAGGGAGTTCTATTGCTCTGCAAATACTGGAGGATCATTTGTCCTCTGCAATGTTCTTGACAATAGTGCAGAGCTGTGAAAGCTCATAATTTTGCCAGTGATGGCCAACAGCAATAAGACCTGCATGCATATGAGGTCTTATGAGGTTTTTTAAAAGGTGCAAAAATGATGGGGAAGGTATAGCATTATGGATTGCCAAAAGTCGCATGCCAGTGTAGACGCTTTCTTGTGCAAATACTTTAACGCAAAAACTCTTGAGTTAAAAGTATTTGCACAAAATCTTGCCATTGTAGACGTAGCCTGAGAGGATACATGAAAACACCTGGAAACAGAGAAGTACTGTAACATCAGGGGTGAAAGAGAACTTCTGGACCTACGTCAGAAAGGACATCCATAGCCTGAGAAGGACTTTACCTGAAATAAGAATTAAGGTGAGAAATTATGATTTGTAACAAGTTCTCTTAATGTAGTAGGCTGTGTGTGTTTGTTTTATTAGTAACCTACTTTGATCTGACTGCTATCACTTGCAACCATTTCAATCCTACTTTTATACCTGGTGGAGGGGACAACAGCTGTGCTTATCTCTCATTGTTAGAGGGAGCAAACAAATTATGAGCTTACTTTGTATGAAACTTTTATACAGAGTAAGGTGGATTTCTCTGTGGTTCTGGTCCCACTGTGGCTCTGCACCTAGGTGCTATGTCAGATCCCTTTGAGCCTTCCCAGAGCTTAGCTGCTTTCAGTGTTTGTGTTGCTCTGATGTGAGCTGTGACTTCAGCTCTGCATCACTGGAAGAGACCGAAGGTTCTGGCTCAGCAGGGCTGGGTTGTGGGGCACTTGCGAGGACAGATAGATAGGCCCAGGGGTGTTTCAGCACCTCAAGTGACAGTCTCAAGGGGATCTCTGTGACCGAACCTGCCAAACTCAGTTTGTAGTGTAGACATGGCCAAAACCCATCATACGTGTATGCAGAACTTTCCAGCACTGTGTGCATTATACAGCAGGTGTGAGGGACTATGGCTCTAGATGTACTTCTGGATGGGTAGGCCTGGGCCATCTGGAGGGGAGGTAGGACCTGGCACACCGGCTTATGAGGTACTTTTGTGACAGAAAATTTATAATACTTAGAATATATATTTGTTAGAATAAAAAGCCTCTCTACAGCACATTCCTGACTCTCTGACCTCTTATACTAGCATGTGATATTTTTGTAGCAAAATTCCTATAATAATAAGCTGTTTCTCATTTTCTTGTATCTAGGGAGACAAATTTAATGCACAAAGGCCACATCCTTCTCCTTCCTGGGAAAAGATGGTGTACAAGGTGCTTCAGAAAGCATTCATTTCCTTTGTCCTAATTTTCATTCTTGGAAGTTTTCTTTCTGGGGTATTCTACAGGCGGCAAACAAAAATGAGTGAGTAAAAAAATATATCAATAGAAAGATTTTGTGGTTTTGGAACAGTGACCATCTTTTTTTGAGAGTAAAAAACATGCACCACTTCAAAAGTGGAATCATAAATAGTTAGTACAATAATATCGATAAAATATCTGAGGGGGTTGGCCTGAGAGATTCTTCTGCTACGTGTAGAGAAAAGAGAGCAAGAAAAAGCCACATTTGCCACTGAAATTAAGTGTTTGAAGATGCATAACAAGATGTTGTATTTAAAAGTGCTGCATGGGATCTTTTCAGGGGGAAAAGGCAAAATGACACATTTATTGGTAATACACACGTATAGCAATCAACACTTACCATATGCATATGATATATCACTCACACTCACACAAGCACACCCCGTTTTGTTGTGGTTACCAATAGTTGCTCCTCCGAACTGCACTGGCCAGGTGAGTTTGGTGAGGGAAGGGTGGAGCCAGGCTTCTGCCGATCCGGATCGGTGCTCCCATGTTGACAAGACAAAAACCTGGGTTCTCTCTGCAAGATGCCTTAGATTTATAGTGTCTTCCCTCTCCTGCAGATCTCCACCAGTTACTCATCACATGCATACGCAATATCTGTCAGAGTTGTCATATGAATATGCAGTGAGACATCTGTGGCACCTTCTTTTGAGTGGTGTCTCAATGCTGCCACATTCTCCTTCAAAGAGGGTGCTTCCAAAAGCAGGCACTTACTGCTGACTCCCAAGGGGTCCATATGTCCAGTCTTCTTTCAATGATCCAATTTCACAGGTTCCATTGTTCTTCTCATTGTTCTTGGATCTGGCTTCTACCCCTCTCCAACCTTTGCAAGTGCCCAGAGGTGCTTTTCTTTCATGCCTTATACAGTCACACCTCATTCACTCAACAGGACAATCAGTTTCGCAAAAGGGGTACAAAGCCTACAACCGTGGTCACCAACCCATCGATCGCAATTGACTGGTCGATCCTGGGGGGCCAACCAGTCAACTGCGAGGCTTTTAGGGGCCCCCTCTTGCTGCCCCCCACCTCCAAGGTGAATGCCGTGCTGATGCTACTTCCAGGGACAACGGAGGTAGCATGGGCTTCTGGCAGGGTTGGGGATGTTCTGCAGCTGCGCGCAAGGTCCCAGAAGGCTGCTCTTCTTTCCCCCTCCCTCCCAACAGTCGGCACAGTACCTAAAACTCCGGTCTGTCATGCGCTGGGGACTTTGTTCCCCTGCTGCCTTCCTGCACACAGGGAAGGGGCTGGGGGTCCAGGACTGAGCTGGCTCCAACCGCTCGGATGGCGCGCGCTGCCATGGGGAGCGGAGGAGCACGGCACGTGCTGCCGGAGCAGTTGGGGCTGGTGCAGTCCTGGCCCTCCCCATGCAGGAAGGCAGGGGAATAAAGTCTCCAGTGCTCCGGCTTCGGCTGGCGCAGTCTGGGACTCCCCCCTCCCCCATTCCCACCCAGCCCAGGAAAGCATCAGGCATTCGACTGACCAGTGTTTCAGGTACCGCACCGTTGTTTGTGGGACTGGAGAGCAGCCCGTGTACTTCCTAGGCCTTGGCATGCAGCTGCAGGATCCCCAGTTACCAGTCCCTGTCTCCTCCCACCACCCAGATCCCCACAGGTACCCTGCCCCGGCACCCATTGGCACCCTGCCCCAGCACTCTATCCCCTGCCCCAGCACCCACAAGTACCCTGTCCCCTGCCTGAGCACCCATTGCACCCTGCCCCAGCACCCTGTCCCCTGCTCCCACCAGCACAGTTGGGGCCACATTAGTGAGGTTTGAGGGGTTTGGGGGGGTTGTGTTTTTGTATCTCACTTGTGTGGCCCCGACTGACTTTTCTGTGCCCATTGGCACCCTGTCTCCTGCCCCAGCATCTGTCCTCTGCCCCCACCAGCACAGTTGGGGCCACATTAGTGAGGCTTGAGGGGTTTGGAGGTGGTGAGTTTTTGTATCTCACTTGTGTGGCCCCAACTGACTTTTCTGTGGGTCAGTGACCCCTGACTCAAAACTGGTTCCCCGCCCTTCTCATAAATAAAGACACTGCTGAAACCTTGTGTTTGACATAATATTTTATTTAAAAATGAATGCTGGCCAACAAGCCCCCAGTTGGGGCTAAGCCCTCATCTGGCCACAGCATCATACCACTCCTGTGCCCCCCACCCTGACCCCAAATCTGAGCCTATCATACACTGGAACCCCCTGTCCTGAGCCTCTCGCATCCCCAAACTCCTGCACCCCCGCATACTCAGTCTTCTGCCACAACACTCTTACACCATTGTGCAAATCTGTGTCCTGAGCTCATTGTACTCACAACCTCCCTGCCCTGAGCCCCTCACTCGCCACAACCCAAACTCCTGAATCCACAAACCTGTGGCTTGGTCAGCACCCCAACCCTCCACCTGAGTCCAACACTCCCCAGCCTGGAGCCCCCTCCCTGAGCCAGCATCCCCTTCTCCACCCCCTCCTGCATCCAAATTCCCTCCCAGAACTTGCACCTCTCACCTTTTCCCACACCTAAATCCCTCATTCACACCCCAGAGCCCACATCTCCTGTCTCAACCTAGTGAGGCTAGACTGCAGGAGCTTTTCTGACAAACATCCTCTTTTGGCAGCCTCTGTATTCCTTGTTCCATAAGGAATGAGGGGATTCCAAAAGAGGGGTTTTTCCAACATTTTGGCCCAGTCTAGATGGGCCAAATGTCGGAAAAATTTCTTCCAACAGAAGATCGAAAAAAGTGGAAGTGTAGCCGTACCCTGACAGTGTATAAGGGCTGTGGATAACAAGTGATGGAGAGAAGGGGAACAGAGAGGGCGGGGCCTTAAGTAAGGGGTGGGATCCTTGGGGAAGGGATGTGGTAGATCTTGGCTTGTCCTGACATTTAAAAAGTGATCTTGGGTGTAAAAAGGTTGGAGACCACTGGCCTACAAGATTTCTATGTAAAAAGACTTAATACAAAGTTTCTATGTTCTATATGAAAGTATACAACCTTTCTATATACAGTAAAAGGACTTATACAACAAAGCTAAAGACCTATTACAATGCTAAAAGGACTTGATACAAAGTTGAAATAAAAATGTCAATGAGAAAATTATTAATACAGAAATTAATGAGCTGTATCTACAAAGATTCTCCCTAAGAATAATTCTTCTGCCATTCATTTCCCAGGTTTTTCTAAAAAGCCTTTTAATAATCATGATAGCTTGTGTTGCATGCCTGTAACAATTCACTGTAAACTAGAGTTTTGTATTAATCCTAAAGTGCAACGTTAGTTCCTCAGGGAGTTAAGTTGTGTTTTCTGATTTTTTTTGGCATGAAAAGAAAACTCTGCTAAATTGCTTTACACTGGGGCTACGTCTAGACTGGCATGATTTTCCGGAAATGCTTTTAACGGAAAAGTTTTCAGTTAAAAGCATTTTCGGAAAAGAGCGTCTAGATTGGCACAGATGCTTTTCCGCAAAAGCACTTTTTGCGGAAAAGCATCCGTGGCCAATCTAGACGCGCTTTTGTGCAAAAAAGCCCCGATCACCATTTTCGCGATCGGGGCTTTTTTGCGCAAAACAAATCTCTGCTGTCTACACTGGCCCTTTTGCGCAAAACTTTTGCGCAAAAGGGACTTTTGCCCAAATGGGAGCAGCGTAGTATTTCCGCAAAAAGCACTGATTTCTTACAATAGGAAGTCAGTGCTTTTGCGGAAATTCAAGCGGCCAGTGTAGACAGCTGGCAAGTTTTCCAGAAAAGCAGCTGATTTTCCGGAAAAACTGGCCAGTCTAGACACAGCCTGGTGGTTTATCTTCCTTTCTTGCACACATCTTCTTTTGCAGCTCCTAAGGAATACTGGCCCATGAATCAAGTTTATCTCAAAGACATACTGAACGCTACATGCCTGATGAACAATCTCTCTCTTTCAAAAAGAAACCTGACACATGATGTTGCAAGACAGATCTTTGTGGAGCATAACCACAAGTTCATCTACTGTGAGGTGCCCAAGGTCGGCTGCTCCAGTTGGAAGAAAATTATCCTTCTCCTCACAATGAACCTGAGCAGAAAGGCTAGTGAAGTACAACACAGCCTCATCCACCTTACCCCACTGATAAAGAGGCTGAGTATTTACCCTTCTGACTACCAGGAGAAATTACTGAACAGTTACACCAAAGTGATGTTCACCAGAGATCCCCTGGAACGGTTGGTTTCAGCTTACAGAGACAAGTTCCTTCATTCTGAGCCATACTATAGTATCACTGTTGCAAATGAGATCAAGGCCATGTTCAGGAAAAACAAAAATTCAACTGAAAATGTGACTTTCCAGGAGTTTATTAACTTTATTCTGACACAAAAACAAGAATATTTGGATGTTCATTGGAAACCAATGTTTCTACTCTGTGATCCTTGCAACATTCACTATAACATCATGGGGAAGTTTGAGACATTGGAGGAAGATTCTAAACATGTTCTCAGGATCATTGGAGCCCCAGAGGATATGCACTATCCACATCTTAAAACATATAGCTCAGAGAAACGTACGACTGATGATATTACCTTGGCATATCTCAGAAAGCTGAGCTCAGAGCAAATTCAAAAGATCAAGAAGCTGTACGAGATGGATTTTGCCTTGTTCAACTATTCTTATGATTTGAAAATGAACCTTTATGAGAATGTTATAATATGAAGAGAGAGGCCATTTTATTCATATAAAATCAAATGAACTTTCCACAAAGATAATTTTGTGGAAACAATGAAGGTAGCAGCCAAGTACTGTTATTGTTTGATAGCTCACTAGAAGATTTACCCAGCATTGCTCAGGTCCTTAACTCATTTAAAAAAATAAAATGAAAATGGGCATGTTACGTTTAAATCATTTTTCCGGGGTGGAGCTGGGAAGAAGGGTTCAGTATGCAGGCTGCACCGTGGAGAAAGACTTACCTCAGCCCTCTCTCACCCCAGTAGCTTGACTCCAGGTGAGAAGCGCCACTCCATGGCTGCTGCAACTCCAGGTGGCACAGCTGGGGGAGGGGTGCCTGTCCCCCAGCTGGAGCAGGTCCAGATTCATCTGCCTCCTGTGCTGCCCAGCCAGAGTGAGGAATGGAGCAAACTGTGCACTTTCCCCTCGCTCCTTGATGAAGCAGAACAGCCAGCAATGTTCCTGTACAAATTGGGGGTAGAAGCTGCAGCCCCTCCCCTCTGCTCTCCCTAAAGGAGCAGGGGGGAGGCTCAGCGCTGGGGCAGTTCCAAAGTGGGAGACGGGTGCTTCTAGCCAGCCCCTTTCACCTGCCTGGTAATTCTTTCTCTCTTTTATGAGACACAATCCCATTCCAGGCACTTCCCATTTTCCTGCCACAACCAAACCCTTACCTAGCTTTAAGTTATGATAAGAGGAAGCTGTTTACCAAATTTGGTAGTCCTAGCTCTTACCATATAGCAGAAATTCTTGAACAAAGAAATGAACACCCAGACAAACTTTCTAAAATGTATAGTTGATGGAGCTATTTGTTGTAGGCACTCTTCTATTGAATCAATATAAGAAATTACATCTGTATGAGCTTTTCCAACCAATGATCTGATTGCTTTGAACGTATCTGAAATTCATAGAGACCATTGGCATGGTGGGGTTATAGGATGGAGAATATGACCTTCCTATAGGAAGATGTTTTAGACTGTAGGAGCAATGAGTCTAGATTATTTTGATTTTAATTAATAACTAAATACAAAGCAGCACACGTGCCTACCCATGTAGGAGCCTCCAACAGGAATCCACTATCAGACAGGCAGATGGCTGACATGAAAAGGTATAGGGCACTAAACAGAATCATCAGTACATAGACCTCTGGATATTGCTCGAGTATGGCAGCATTCTCATCATATCCCCATCAAGTCCCCTACCCTCATGGGTGTTGGAAGGAGTTGGCCTAGATGGGGCAAAGCTGGCATTGTGCCCTCATGCTGCCTGGAGGCTTTCCCCACTACTCCCCTTGGCCAGAGTCCAGCCAATGGGAGCAGCAGGAGGTCATGTCTGAGACATGATGCCTGGCAACATGGTGCAAAAGCAAGTGAGTGGTCCCTGCCCCCTCATGCCCAGACCCCGCATCCCTACTGTGACCCTGAACCACCCCCTGCCAAGATCCCACACTCCCAGGCCGTTCCTGAACCCTCTCCCTGGCCAGATACCCCACCCCTAGCCTGCTCCTGCACCCTCTCTTGTTCCTGCAGCTTCCCTCCTGGTCAGACACCCTATGCCCACACTCCTCCTGAACCCACCCTTGCTCCTGTACCCTCCCTCCTAGACACATACTTCACCTTTCCTTGCTCTTGCCCTCTCCCCTCTGGCCAGACACCTTACTTCCAGCCTGCTCCTATACCCCACCTCCTGCCCAGATCTTGAATTCTCACCTCTATCCCACTCACTGGCAGCCCTGTCCCACACACTGAACACCTCATTTTTGTCCCAACCCCAGAGCCTGGGTGAGGGGGGTCCACAAAATCCACTAACCCTGGAACCACAGAAGAGAAAATCTGGCCCATGGGAAGCCTTGAACCTCAGTCCTCCCTGTCCCTTCCCCTCACCCCATGGAGATGGAGCTCCAGAAGAGTGAGGTGTCTTAGTTGGGGGCCACATGAGTGAGGGCTGGGGGCTTTGGAGGGTTTTTTTGCTTCTCACTTGTGTGGTCTCCAACTGATTTTTCTGTGGGTCAGTGGCCCCTGATCCAAAAAAGGTTCCCCACCCTGCCACGAATAAAGAAAACATTGAAACATTGTGTGTTGGATATAAATTAATAATTTACTTTATTTAAAATGAAGTTTGATAAACTAACATGAGAAAGTTAAAGCGCTTAATCTATTTAATAATTTAATATTTCCTTTCTTACCTGTTAAATTAAACCGTTCTCCCTAGCTGCAGCACTAACAAAATGGCTCGGGCTTAATTATGTAATTAGTGGCTAGTTTCCATTAGCAACTGGTGGTCTATGGAAAGGTTTGCACTGAACCAGGTAGGCCACGGGCCAAAAAGTTTGAGACCCCCTCCTATATTCAGAGCCATTCTGTAGTGTCAGTGTAGCAAATAAAAGAAGGACAAACCTTCAGGAAAACAACAGTATTATGGGAAAGTGTATTTCCAGGAGGTGGTTAACTTTATTCTAAAAATACCCAAAGTACAAAAGGAATAAAAAACCCATGCCAACAACAAGTACTGTTCCTCCTCCCACTAGCAAGAACATTTGGACAATCATTCGAAAGTTTCTATTCTATGGGCACTGAACCGGTCACTATGACATCATGAGGAAATGTGAGACCCTACAGCAAGTTGTTGAGCATATTCTCAAGGGTATTTGAGCCTCAGAAGGCCTGCATTACACTAATTTTAAGAGGTCTGACAGAAATGGATCAGTACTGTTACCACAATGGAGGGATTCAGAAGGCTGAGCTCACAGCAAATGAAGAAACTGTACCAGACGGATTTCTCCCCATTTACCTACATAGCCTTTGCCATTTAAAAATTGAAACATTTGTGCTTTGTTACACTGACAGCCAGCTCAGGCTAGAGGCAGAGTGCAACTCAATTGTATGTAAGTATCCAAGACATGTTAATGGTGGGTTCAAGCCAATTCACTTGTAAATATATAGATTAAAAGGAAATCTTAGTGCTATTGTCTTCACTTATTTGCAACTTTGTTGATTTACATTATGCATATCCCAGGACTGGGTTAACCCTAGTTCAAAAGGTGTGTGTTTACATTAGATTTACATTTTGTTTGCCCATCACCAAGAGATTGGAGCCTTGGAAATGGAAAAGACCGTTCTCTTCCAAGCACTGTGTTTGGCAATGGGAAATCCGCAGACAGGCTATGTTAGAGGCCTTACAGTAGCATGTCTGTAGTGCTGCAGCTGCGATGCTGTATGTCTCCCAGCCATGTAGCTATTCTATGCAGATGACAGTGCTCTCCTGGCTGCATAATTAGACCAGTGAGTGGTGGCAGCTATGTCTGTGGGAAACCCTCTCCCACTGACACAGCACTGTCGACCCTGGGCACTTTCATGGGTCAAACTTACACTATCCTCTAGTCTATGCAATGTATCTCATACCTCTGAGCAACGAAAGCTTTACTGATAAAAGTGCTAAAGCCTGCTGCAGACATAGCTCATGTGCATTTAGTCAGCATAGGAAGAGCCTTGCTGCGGGTGAAAACACTGGCCTAACTGCCTTCTGTGGACAATAATGAACTCACTCAGGGATCAATCTTGTATCTCTGTGTGGTCTTGGATGCTTACAGGGAGCAGAGACAGAGATCCTCAAAAATAACTTTGGGGAACACTGAGAGACTTATGGGAAACTAGCAGATTGCTACATCTCTACTATAACTTTGGGGTGTGTCTAGACTACATGGCTCCATCACTGGAACCATGTAAAGTAGTTTACTCGACATAGTCAATGAAGCGGGGATTTAAATAATCCCTGCTTCATTAAAATAAAAATGGCCACCGCACTGTACCAACAATCAGCTGATCTGGCACAGTGCGACAGTCTAGACCCAGATCGGTCAACAAGGGAAGCCTTTGTCAACCGCTCCTGTAAACCTTGTTTCATGAGGCTTACAGGAGCGATCGACAAAGGCTTCCTGGATCAGCTGATTGTTGGCACAGCGTGGCGGCCATTTTTATTTTAATGAAGCAGGGATTATTTAAATCCCCGCTTCATTGACTATGTCGAGTAAACTACTTTACATGGCTCTGTCGATGGAGCCATGTAGTCTAGACACACCCTTGTAGTGAGAAGTCTGAGCTTACCTTTTAATACATTTCACCTGCTTTAACCTTTCAATAACTCACATTTATTTTTCTTAGCTAATAAATCTTTATTTAGTTTATTAAATAAATTGGTGTCAGCATTGTCTTTGATGAACTACATTGACCTGATTCACAGGTGGACCTGGATCCATTATCTCTTCAGACTCTGTTGCCCCATGACAGTGGGTTAGATTAATATGATGTGTGGATTGTGGATGTTTTTCAACCCATTGGAGGTGGAAGAGAATTCTTTGAGGTGATGTGGAACCTATCCAATCAGTGAGTGTGATCTCTATGGATGTTTAAGTATGCTAAAGAAGCTTCACTTGATTAGACATTTCCTTGCTTTAGACAGTTTGTGTGGATGGGCTTTGCCCTTAAGCAATCTTAACTCATTTTTAATAATGTTTGTTTATGTGGGAATAATAATAATAGAAGAAGACTGACTAATGACTTCTTGTTCAGCATCTCTTCAAAGGAAAGAAGAAACTTTCCAATGATCAGCATGACAGGGATGGTAGTTCTGAATGAATGAATGAATATAGCACCTTTGATTGTTCATTACTATACAAAAGTTTCCTCTGACCAAGGAATAAAATATTAAACAAGATTTGCCTATATAAGTTATAGTTATTCAGTACAAAACCAGGGTCTTCAACGTACCAAAGCCAAAGACTTTCAAGCTAAGGAGATAGGAATTTAGTTTGCTCCTACTAAAATTCTTAATATAGAATACTCCTGCTCACATAGCTTCAAATTACTGAAGTTCACAACCTCATGATTTGTCTTGTTTTATTGATATTGTGCAAGCCTAATGCATGAAGAGGGGGAGAGGTAGATACATTGGAGGGCAGGGATAGGGTCCAGAGTGACCTAGACAGATTAGAGGATTGAGCCAAAATAAATCTGATGAGGTTCAACAAGGACAAGTGCAGGGTCCTGGCTAGATTGTCAGGCCCAATGGGTAGTGATCAATGGCTCGATGTTGGGTTGGAGGTCTGTTTCAT